CCCTCGTTCATTTTCAACAATCCTGATAGCCGCGCGCTATCCGTTCTTTTTTTTTCTACGTAGGTAAATTACGATAAAATTACAAGAAAAAATGTCGGCCGCTGGTAAAGGGTAAAAAATACGTGAATCATATTAATTTACGATTTACATGGTGTCTATCCCATTCAATGATATTATTTACAATAAATAATATTATCTTTACCTATTAACTATAGGAATAATATTTAACTCGATGAACTTTCTTTTTTGTCAATCGATAGTATTACCGATAACGAGAAAGAAAAGATATGTATGCATGAATTATGATGCAGATTAAAAAACATTTAATTCGGAGGCTACCGCTTATACAAAATTTCCATCCTCGTAAAATTATTTTCATATTAACTGTCATTCCGCGCAGATGTGTAATTAATTTTAATATTCCTCTTGATATTGTGGTTGACTGATACATGAAAAAAAAAGGAAGTATTAAAAAAAAGAAGGTTACGTTTAAAGAACAAGTTGTAACCTGTCTCGCATATAAGTATCTTGAGGAATCGAAAGTGAGTCGAAATACCGGTTTATCTGTAATTTAATCGTAAATTAATCGATCATTCAATAATATTATGTACCGGCCTCTAGCTTGATCTTGACGATCGCTCAAGATCACGGCCTAATGATTTATTTTATTCTCCAATAACAATCCTCCTCTAAAAATCTTCAAAATATTACAGACTATTCTTTTTCTAAAAGTTATGGTCCATAAATTATGGACCAAGTCGTAAAATTTAAAATGAATTTGACTCAAAAATATGTTCAACACGGTTACGTACTCTGTTCGACGATGATCTTAACGAAAGATAATCGAACTGAAAACGATAAGAGAGAAAAGTTATAGTACGTAACCGTGTTTAGAAGAAGATACATACAGCTGTGGTACCTGGAAGTAGAAAGGAATGTACCGTGTGCGTAGGGACGCTTCTCGTAGGTACTGGACGAGTCTACTTTTTTCGCTGGCCCTCAGAACCCCTATAAGTACGAGAGGTCTTCAGCGTCCTCGCACAGAAATACAGAAGAATCACCGTACGCGGTTCTACAACATTTTCTTCTTTTACAAATCCGCAAACATGTTTAAATACGTAAGTAAATTATTTTACCATTATATGATAAATTATTTATTCGATTTAATTACCATTCGTTACAAATGTATATTTTAATGAAATTATTAATTGTTTTCAAGCGTTATATTTGTATTCATATATATATATATATGCGATAATGTTTACAGTTAATCCTGTTTGCCTTCGTTGGCTTAGCCTGGTCTGCTCCAGCACCTGCACCTAAACCAGCACCAGCACCAGCACCGTATCCTCTTTCAGTGATATCAGAAATCAAAACACCAGCATCCACCGCTAAACTGACACCCCTTATCGCACCCATCGCTTCGCCTCTAATTTCTCGTCTTGCTCTCTTACCCCAAGTACGTAACAGATCTATTTCATCTTGAAAATGTGAATGTAATTATAACAGTGGATGATTTATTTTATAATCAAAATAATTGCAATGTCAAATCAATTATAAAATCAATTATTTTTCATTTTTTTATTTACTCCATTGTCATTATTACCGTCACAAATACCAATCTTATTTACTTTTTCTCTTTCTAATAAATTTCATTTATATATATATTCAAACAATGTCTTTCTATCGATTTCTTGTCTCACATATTGTATCATTAATTGGATAAATATATATCGTAAGTCCTACAATCTGTATAGTTCGATTATTAACTTTTACATAACAAGGATATATTAGAATTATAAATTGATTTGGAACGGAATGTTTTTTGTAATAAAATACTATCGTTGAAATTATTCAATGAACGCTTAATTAATTCATTAAAAAATTCTAATGATTCATTTTATCTTTTTTTTTTGCAGTTGACACCATACACTTATACTTATTCAGCACCCGTTGAATTAGCCGCTGTTCCTTCAACTTATTCGGTCGAACAACACGGATACCACATTACCTACTGATACGATGATCGCTTCCTTCATCTTCGGCCTAAGACAACATAAACACTACAGAGAACTACCTTACCTTTCACCGATAATCATCATGTATCGCGTACTGATAAAATCATTCACGCAAAAAAAATACTAGAAGAAAAAAAAACGAAAAAAAAAAAAAAGAACATTAATTCCTAACGTTTTTTTTTTTATTATTTATTATTCATAGTTAATTATATTATCCTGTAGAAATTCCTTAAAAATTCCTCGCTGCTACTATTACCGTTGTCCTTAAAGAAAATATCTTTCATTGTTCACTCCTCTATTATTATTTTTCTTTTTAAACATAGAAATATTAAACGCAGTTTATGAATAATTCAAAATCTAAAAAGAAAAAGACATTAAATTACGACTAACGACGACGAGTATTTCTTTCGGGAGAAGAAACAATATCGTCTATCAAATAAAAATCATAAAAAAAAAAAACAAGTGTCGTCCTTGTTCCCTATTTTCTACATGGACGCATAAATAGAATTTGAGTCAGAGAAGTAAATAATAAACGAGCGTATCGGTGATCGCAGAATGCGATGAAAAGGAAAGTGAAAAAAGATCACAAACTTTCTCGGGAACATCGGAACTCTTAACACGTTCGTCGACGTCATTGCACCTTGAATGGGACGGGTCGTTACATAATATTGACTTAACGTAAACCCTGCCCAACAATGTTTTCGATACGTCAAAAATAGTCATCGATCATAAATTTGATAAAACTTATAAAAGAGAGATTAGAAAGTAAAAAGTATAAAAAAAGAAAAATAAATATATATGTACATTGATTATTACTCGTTGTTGTTGTTGTTGTTGTTGGTTCGATGCCCACGTGTCGTGACGTACGTGAAAAATAAGTCAAGACGTGTTGTTACCTTCGTTTTCTTTTATTATACATACTTCAAAGGCAAAATCATGATATAAAATTCCCAGAGATAAAATTACGAAACGCTACGAGCTAAAACACGCGACGGAAAATCCCTATTGTGCAAGAGTACGATCGGGTGCATCGAACGAAACCGACCAACCACTGAACACAACCGGCTTTGATCCATTTTTTTATAATTTCTTTTCTCCTTGATTCTTTCTATCTCTCTCATTCTTACAAAGAGAAGGAACATGTAACGAAAACTAATGTTTCCTGGTAAACGTTAACAAAAATATTCGGTAATATCTAACACGAATATATTTCTTTCTTATTGAACAATGACAAGTTTTATATACATTGTTTATAATACTGCATACGCATAATTTAATCTTATAAACGATCGTTATTCGAAAACTGTTATTACACCCGGTTAGCTCTGAACCATCTTCGGGACAACACTTTCTCCCGGAACCTGAAAGACAACACACAAAACGGAGGAACTGCGGTTCGGCTCAATTTCTGTTTATTTCGTATACTTCTTATTATCCGTAAAAAAAGAAAACTATATTAGGGATACAGATGCAAAACAAGGAATGTTAGCTAAAATTTATAAATTATTTAAATAAGGAAACAATACTTTACTAATTGTGTTAATATTTTTACATATTAAGTAGCCATAATTGCTCATAATTATAATAAATATTCCCATGCAAAAGTTCTAAAATTGAAATTAAAAATTGAAGTATAAAACTTTTCCATCTACTTTGATAAATGATAGATTAAATATTTTTTCAAATATTTGTAATTAAATTCACTTTCATAATACTTCTACAGAAAATACAATTCATTAGATGGTCTAACTTTTCTTTGAAATCATTTGAAATTGGTAAAACGATATACCGTCCAGTCGAATTTCAGACAAGATGATGTCAAGGTTGTGACGAAGAGGATCACGAAAAGAAAGCGTGTGTCGCGTCGTTCGTTCATGTGTATCGTCTACGAATTGCTCCTCTTTCTAGGTAGTGGTGGTTCACCACGTGTCATGTTTCCTTCAGATACGATGAGAAGCCAGGACTACTCAGATATACACCGACGAACTTAACGATCTCTCGGTTCCGCTCTTCTACCTGCGATCCAAAATCAGAGGAACAAACGAACTCAATAAAATTTCACTCGTCTCCCACGGATTCCAATATTTCTTTTTTGTAATCAATTTTATCGCATTAAATGCGATTTCACTTCATAATTCATCGTTAATATTCTATAATTCAAATTTTTTTTATCGAAATTCAAATGAGAATGTAAAAATATTCCACGTGGAAATTACGTGTCTTTTAGGCTCCTTCTAAAAAATAAATAAAATTGGCCTTGAAACAACCTTGAAATTTTCTATCAAATAAAAAACTTATAAATGTCGTAATAATTTTACTCTAAAAAACAAATAAATTTGTTTAGAAATGTCCTGGTTTTAAGCTAAATAATGTTGAGTAATATTTCGAATACCCTGTATTAAATAAAAATATATTAGGTTAGTCAATTTGTGCAATTTTTGTTAAGTAAATAACACAGCAAAAACGACACAGACCATATTGGCTAATAATTTAATTAAGCATTATGTTGTAAAGGGTTAATCAGAAAAATTTACGAAATCACCTTCTAATAATATTCCAGTGGATGACGTTGAAAAGTTTCAAGCCTAACATAAAAACAATATTTTTTTGTCAGTCAATTCTATTTTATTCTTTGACATAGTCTCTCTCTAAACACTTTTAGAAAAGAATAAACTCAAAACTTTTTAACCCACCCACGTATATTAACACTTTCCGCAATGCAAATATTAGCCCTTGACCTAAATTTGAATTCTTCATGAAAGTCCACGGACTTTGTACATTTTCTGTATAACAAATGTTCAATAATTATTAAACATGATAATAAAAAATAGTATAGGCGATATTTTTATATAATCACGAGTCCTAAATATCGCGTATAAAAACCGTTTTATAAATTTCTCGATAATTCGGTAAAAGGGGTTGCGTACACTGCGAATAATTCGAGTTACGAGCGAATCCGAAAGACGGATGTCCGCTTGAGGAATGAGTCACACAGATGTTACCCCACCATGGTGTTCCAATCGCGTAGCTGCCTCAGCATCCCCGAAAGAGGTACGAAAGTATATAAGATTCGAACGGTCTCGGTAAAAGCACAGACCAGTCTTGTACAACTTGGAGAAAGTATTCGTGATAAACAGCGAGAGTCCATCGTAAGACGTTCACAAGGTGTGGAAGAAATTTCCTGCGTAGTCAGCGTGTGCAAATAGTAACAGGTATATATATATACCAATAACAAAATTCGATAATTAAACATTAAAAAATATAGTATTATTTAAAAAATTATCTACATTTATCATACAGTTTTAATTATATTTCCCAAAATAATTGCAATTAATTGATTTAATTATAATCAAATTGTTTGATATATTAAAAAATAATGAATAGGGATAATGAATACAAAAGTTGATTGAAAAGTTTTGAGATTATGCCGAAAAATAAAATTAAATTCGTCCGAGAAAAAAAAATGTATAGTACAAACTCGTGCATCCTCTTATAAGTGAATCTGAATTATAAATTATTATTTTATTTTTTAACAGACACTTAGAAAAGAAAAGAAAAGAAAAAAGAAAAATATAAAGATTCACCTAAGTCAGGGTTCAACGCTTCTTTAACTTTCTCCTCGTCGCTCCGTGTCACCTGAGTAGTTGTCGAAGTTGTCTGAGAAAATGGCCATTGTGTGTAAACGATGAACGTTTAACAAGACGATTTCTTTCCATGGCCTATATATTATCTGTAACTATTTGAACGTTTCTTTTCCTTTAGAATATTTTACTTTTATCATTGTCTATATTTGGAACTTTTAGTCCCGTTATTACGTAATAACTTTCTCCGTATCGAAACAACGTCTCAAAGAATAGACTAAACATCTTTTTTTCTTGGTATACCCGATATAAAAGAATATATTAGAGCTGTGTAACCAGTCAAACGACTTTCTCTCAACTTCCTCTTACTTTCATTGACCCTATCGGTTACAGGATCGCATCATCGTTCATTTTTAACCGATCACTTCAATCACGTTCCACGATCTTAATTTCGAGTCTATTTTTTCCTAAAAATGTCGAAGTTATGTCGAAGATTTTTTTTTCAAATAAGTTTAATAAACAAAAAAAAGTTATTTCTACGATTGACTCGAAACTTTTCAACTCACCCATGTACTTGTTGAAATAAATCATCAACTAAATTTACATACAATTTAAGAAATTGGTTAACGTGAAAAAAAAAAAAAACAAAGCTATTTTAAATTTCAATTAAGAGCATGAAAACAAAGAGTATTCTGTACCAGTTAGACACTTCACCGTACTTAAACCAATGAATATGCATGATAAATATTCTTCTATTCTTCTGCATACTTTTCTTTTTCTTTTAATCTGCAATTGCATCTTTCTCTCGTGTCAGTACGTTGGCTGAGTAATAAAAACAGATCGGAGAAAGGTGATATGCACTTTCACAAGACTTGCTTGAGTTAAAGCGAAGAAACGAAGACAGACACGCACTTCGGTAAAACCCACATCGCAATTGGGTACCCATGAATTTAGTAATCTTAACCATATAAATATTATGTAAATCGTGTAAGTTTTGCAATTAGAAATTAGCACTTACGGGTTAATAGTGAATTTGACAACGTACGAATACGTATTTTAAAAGTTCCTAAGAATTCTTATGATGAAATAAAAAATAAATGTGTCAATGCTGGCTATAAAACAGAAAAAGACGAAGAAGAATGATTGAAAAATGATATAAGTGTCAAATTATTGTTGCCTCGAAAAAATATGAAAGAAAACGATACTTTTCCTTTGAATTATGAATCGAACGACTAGATCACGCCTACGCATGGCCATAATCGCATTAATTCTCGAGTATGAAGAACTTTCTATATATTTGCATAAAATATCCTTCGAAAAAGAAAAGTTATGTGTATAAAAGAAACATCAAAGAAATAATATAATCGAGTTTGAAATGAAATTAATTGAATTGATATTTCATTGCGATTTATTTATATTTTTTAGAATGAAATTCTGTCCAATACTGCTAGCGTGTCTAGCAACATGCACACTGGCAACTCAAGTGACGTATCAAACGTCATCTTCATCGCAGAGTTCAAGCAATACGAACCAACAACAACAGCAGCAATGGTCTTGGCAAGGTCAAGATTTGCTTGCTGCATCTAACACGCAAGAAGAATCATTTCATCCCGTTTCTTTCACTGCACCTGATGCTCTCAAACAAGAACAGTCGCAGCAACAGCAATTGTACAACCCTAATATCCAATCGCAATCGAGTGGAGTTGCTGAAGCAGTCGATCAACGAACGGTAAACATATTGGAATCAAAATAAGATTAAAAAACATGAATTAAAAATTAAGAAACATTAATTAAAGAAAAAACCACGTGTGATTTCCAGGTGGATTCTGTAATCGATAACATTCTCATCTATAATCGACAGGGACGCAATCTCGAAGGTTATGATGTGCTCTACGCTGATCCTGACGTGAAAAATGCTCTCCAATTAGGAAATGATACTGTAGCTCGTAGTTACATCAAAGATAAACTATGCTCATTAGGTCTCATGAACGTGAGTTTAATATTTTATTTGCAAAAATGTGTAATCGATATTTTATATTCCTTTCGTCTCAAATTAATTGTCATATCTGTATACAAATGTACACACCAAATGTGACAATTAATTTGGAACGGAGGAAATAATATTTTTAGCTTCGATACTTTACTGTAAGATATACAAATTTTTATATTTACATAGTGCGAGAATTTAGAAGGTCGCCGTCCATATTATTCACCCCACCGTGATATTCATCCCCAAGAAGTAATCTACGCGCAACCCGTGACGATAAAACCTGTTGGTCGTCCATTACCAGCTGTGCCAGTGAAACGACCATATGGTTATGGAAAACCAGGACCATTAACACCTGGTTTCGCTCCTGGACCGATTTTATCAGGACCACCACCATCTTTCATCGGAGCCGGACATGGACCAGTTTATTCTAGACCCCCATCAAGTTTTATTGGGTCGCAGATTGGTTTGAAGAAACCAGGTGGACCGATATACGGTACAAAACCGATTTATGAATCTAGCCTTGACGCTGAAGTCGATTTCGATAATAAATTTCTCAACAAGAAGCAAGTGATTCTACAACAATCGGATGGTTCCGTACAACAACACGTTCATCATCATTATCATCATGGAGATTCGATTGGTAATACTGGATCCACCCCGATAATTGGACCTGGTCCAATTGGTAGCAATGGTTTCAATGCTTATGGCTATGGTAGTGGTGGTTCTTACGCCGGAGCAATCAACGACTTCGAAGATTATAGAAAGAACTTTAAAATCAAGGCAACTAACTCCGGTAACAGTTTGAACGAAGCCGCATCGTCCAACAGTTACGCGAATGCTTTTCCAACTTACGAGAAAATAAAGGGTGATTCTACAATCGGTGGATTAAGTTCGATTAATACAGGAAAACAATATTCTGGATTCGGTTCAAGCAATTCGTACATAGCAAACAATAATTTTGCTTCAAACAGTAACAACTTTGCCAGTGGTCTTGGATCCTTTGAAAATGGTTTCGACAATGGGTTATCATCGTCAAATTACGAGGACTGCGTGTGCGTACCTTACGAACAATGTTCAACCATCAATCATGTTGGACGCAAGGATGATCTTTACCTGGCAATCGATCCTCGCAATCTTGGTAAAGATATCGAAGCTGAAACTGTTGAGGTTATTGTCACCGATGGAAATGGTACGATGAGCGTCGTAAGAGTCCCAAAAGGAGTCAACGGAACTAATCAAGATGAATATAGCAAAACACAAGAAAACAATGATCAAATATCGGATTCTGAAGAAAATAACGATTTTGTTCCAAGTGAAAAGAGATCCAAGAGAGATACCACTAAGAGATCTGAACAGAATGAGGAAAAGAAAGCGGAAGCTCAAAGCGTAAGTTTACAAATTTTTTATCATTCCTACTTAAAGACGAGCTATCTGTTCGTAGCGAGAATCAATCAAATTCTATACTTTCCCTTTCTCATTTTCTCTCTGACTTTCTTTATCTTTATTCATAAATTTATGATATTCTCGATTAAATTGAACAACAGGAAGGAAACAAATGCTCGCCTCGAACCGAATGCTCGGAAGTTCTTTATTATTGTTTTTATATTATCAAGAATAATTATCACTTTAACAGGCTTCCGTTCAACGTTGTTGAGGTGGGTAAAAAGAGATCCGAGTTTCGATTGATATATATGCCGATAATTATGACCATGAACTGAGTCCAGAAATTGAAATTTTCCGACTAAGTTCACTGTCATAATTACCGGCACAATTATGTAAATGTAAAAATCAGGAAAAGTTAAATAATCGGAAAGAGAAAGGGAAAGAATGGAGTGGTAAAGCTGCTAATACTTAAGGCATTTCTTTAAAAAAAAAAAAAAAAAAGAAAAAAGAAAAACTCGGATCTCTAAGTGAATCTTCGACTCTCTCGTTGCAGAGATTGATCGTCGGAGATCTGGACACCTCGAAACTGAACGTGAAGCCTACTTGGGGCGTTAGTTTCGGTCTCCCCCAAACTAACATTAATCCATTAAATCCATACGATGGATACGGTGGACAGGGTATAAATCTTGGTTTGGTATCCGTAAATCCATTGGTAGCTGTGCAAGTAACCAAAGATGAGTACGGGGAAAAAGTGATTAAGCCATTGGTGAATCTACACGTAACACCAAATCCAGGACTCGTTCATAAATTGGGAAACTTTCTAGCACATAAAAAAGAAACTCTATTGGACAATTACGCACCGGAGTATTATCCAGCAGGGCCAATAGTTTACGAAAAACCGATTCATCATTACCCTTCCAAACCCTATTACCCAATTAACCATGGTGGTCCTTTCTATCACGAAAAACCCTATCACCACAATTACCATCATTCCAATTATCATCAAAATCCTTCCTACCAAAGTGGCTACTCTGATTATTATCGTAATGATGACGATGATTACGACTACTCAGACGGTTTAGAAGATTATAATGATTATTATAGAAATTCTCGTATAAATGCATCGTACAACGACGATGCTAGAAGAAATCGTTTCTCCGCTAAGAGTTCATCGAACGAAAGACAAAGTGGAAAGATAGCTTTTCGAGATAGAAAGAAGCGTGACTTGAAAACGATCGATAAAACGGAGGAGGTAAGAACTCGAACTTAGAACTGTCCTCCAAATCAGATTCACCAAAGTGTTGCAGGGTCATTAGAGAAACGACATGATTACCAATCGCTGACGGGAACCAAATGACGTGATATCGACTTACGCAAGAATGCGTTGTCATTATTGTGTCGCTCTAGAGTACAAACCATTTTAAGTATAAATAATTCATTCACCATATTGATTTTAGGAATATCATTTTAAAGACAATATTGTGGACATGTTCATAATTATTCATTAAATACCAAATGAATGTGTAATTAATATTAATAATATTACGCTCATGTTTATTCTTTATTCCCGAACAGAGACAATTCGGTCGTCCACCGACTTGCGGTCCACGTCACGTTTGCTGTCGAAGTAGCCACATAATTGGTTCGCGACCACGACCTGGTCAATGTGGTACCAGATATACCAAAGGTGTTAACGCTAGAATCAAAACTCCAGCTTACGTTGACGGGGATTCAGAATTCGGTGAGTATTCAATTAAAAATAACCAAAAATATTTGTACAAAAATAAAATGAGAATATTATAGCAATTAATCCATATTTGTATATTTAGGTGAATATCCTTGGCAAGTGGCTATATTAAAGAAAGATCCCACCGAGAGTGTTTACGTTTGCGGTGGTACATTGATATCGCCACGACACATTATTACCGCTGCTCATTGCGTAAAAACCTACGCTGGACGTGATCTGAGAGCTCGATTAGGTGAATGGGATGTCAATCACGATGTTGAATTTTATCCTTATATCGAACGAGATATCGTCAGCGTTTACGTACACCCGGAATTCTATGCTGGCACTCTTTACAACGATATGGCTATCCTAAAACTTGATCATCCAGTTGATTTCGATAAAAACCCACACATCAATCCTGCTTGTCTTCCGGACAAACATGACGTTTTTAACGGAGCAAGGTTTGTAAAACACTGATCGTAATTATTGAAATTTCAAATGGAAAATATCGTTTGTTCATTTTCTTTTATGTTCTTGTCCAGATGCTGGACTACCGGTTGGGGTAAAGATGCTTTTGGTGACTTTGGAAAGTACCAAAACATTCTTAAAGAAGTCGATGTGCCTATAGTAAACAACCAACTCTGCGAAAATCAAATGAGGAGAACAAGACTTGGACCAAGTTTTAAACTTCATCCTGGCTTCATCTGCGCAGGAGGGGAAGAGGGTAAAGATGCTTGTAAAGGAGACGGTGGTGGTCCCATGGTTTGTGAACGTCATGGACAATGGCAACTTGCTGGGGTCGTTTCTTGGGGTATTGGATGCGGCCAAGCTGGTGTTCCTGGTGTCTATTCTCGTGTTTCTTTCTATCTCGACTGGATCCGACAAGTGATCAATCAATATTAATTTATTGATTCTAATTAATTATTCTTCTCGAAGTAAGCTCCCGCAGTGTCTAAAGTTCACTGTCGATAACATATTGTATCGTGGAAGTAACCACGATTTTATTATTTATTTCATCTCTCGCGATATTGAATTTTATTTAAATCTTTTGATAACAATTCTCTCATTAGGTCGGCCAATGGAAACAATATTGTATATTTAAGAAATAATTTATTGTACATACTTCGCTAAAAATAACTCGGGCTTATATAATATTTATCATATGTTTATTTAATGACTTCGTTCGATTCACGATATCGATCGTAATCGTCAAATATTTGATGAAAAAATGTGATTCGGACTTTAAACGAGTTCGGATCGAGAAGTAATGCATTTTCTTTGCAATCTATTTATATATATATTTCTATCAATAAATAATCATCCTATAATATATTTTTATACTTGTATTTATTTATTGTATATTTACCAGACTCACACATCAAAGAATATAGAAATACATAGAAGCTCACAAGTTCCTTTTTTTATCTACCTAGATTCATCTTAGTTACTACCGAGACCACCAGTGAACGATAGTAGATACTTAACGCGATGACAGTACAATACTATAAAAGAATACAATATTCTTTGATAGAATATGATAGTATATAATATATACTTTGAAAGTATATATATAGTATAGTTATATATTGTAATATAGAATTTTATATAATTATATTTAATTTTTAATGTATAAACATGTGTGTGCCTTCAGAAATGCATTTATATATATATATTTTAAAATGAAGCAATTTAAGACAGTCAAATAAATAAGAATCCAAAAGGTTTGATGATAAATCCAACGATGATCACCTGTAACAAGAAGAAAACTATATTAGTCATACAGACAAGTGATACAATAGCCTGACATATAAATCGTCCAATTCGCAGATGCACTTTTCAATTGAATTCTCTACTTATTTAAATCAAATCTCTATTTACCGTTGTGATGAAATTAAATTTAAACGCGTGATTTTAAATTTACACAAAATATATATTTAAAAAAAGGAAAAGTACAAATATTAAATTATTAAAATAAAAATAATAACTAATAATTATTATATAATACTTTTAAACTGCATTATATAGGAAAGAAAAATTGCAAATTTAATAAAATATAATCGCAGTAAAAAATCTTAAAGACGGAACAAGAAAAAAGAAATGACTGTAATATTTACCGAACGTTATTTAAGCTTGAAAATTTAATAATACGAAAATTTTAATATATTTGACTTTAACTAAACACATATGCATCTTTTAGACGATATAGACACGAATTTGATGTATTAAGTACATACATAAAAGAAGAACTTGGAAGATTTTAAAATGAATCCAGGCAATTTTTTTATGGTATTTAAACGAGCAAACACATGAGCTATCTTCTATCATAATGGTAAACTTCAATAATTCACATTTTCCATTAGTATATTCTTTATTCATTGTTTTGATATATTGACTGTATAATTGTTCAGAGAAATGTACTTTTTTTTTTCATTTACATATACGTTAATATAAGTGTGAGAAAAAGTAATTTAATTCTTACATGTTACTCTATTAGTTAGTATTCATTCAATATTTACAATTGTATAACTTTAATTTATATATAATAATTACATCTTTATAGTGTAGTTTTATTTAAACAATTACATAAAAATTGCATAGACACTAGCATCGATTAATTAACAATTATTTTAATGCACTAATGCAATTTTCTTATGTTACAGCTAAATGTTACCCTGGAAGTGATCTCTGTGCAGGAACATTAAAATCATTATATAAAAATGATAAAAATGCTGAAATCAGAACGTTATAATCTTAAATATTATTGATTAGATGAATTATTCACTTTATACACATGCGCAACGTTYGGAAAGTCATATAAACAACTTTCAATAAAAGTAATTTGATAGAGGACAATGTTTCATTTCAACGGTGGATTTCAAAGGGGACGGTACATAGATCATATATTCCGAGCTTTTACACAACAATAGACATTTCTATCGATTAATTAACAATTATTTTAATATTCTAATATACTCTACTTACATTTCAGAATGTTTAAACACATATGTACTGGTTTAAACATTACATACTTATTAAGGGGTTACATGGGTTTACACCGGGAAAAAATAGCATATTTTCAACAATTTTTTTCTCTATATAAAATGGAATTCTAATTTCAATTGTATTGTGAATATTTAATTTCAAATTGTACGCTGGTAATATTAACACCTACTTTATCTACACTTGCATAAGTGCCATCTATAATCAATTCACTTCGACTTTTTTCATGTTATGAATTTAGGTTATGTGTGATCTGTACTAACAATTACCAAACTTGTTAATTCTAAATAAAATTGAAGAAATCAATTAATGTAGGTAAGAAAAAATGTTTGTATAATTAATATTACACATTTTATTCGTATAAAATTTGATGATTATGCTACAGTAAACCTTTTATTATACCAAAGTAAGGATTTTTGAAGTTAAGGAATTTGAAAATGCCTATTAAATATATTGGTCGCACAACAAGTTTTAAAGGGAAGACGTTATGGGAAATCTTAGGAAATTTAAAACATTTCGGTGTAGGAAGGATGGTAATACGTAATAAATTTCAAAGATATCCTGAGCCTTGTTTTATGAGAATACTCAAAATTGCTACTCTACCTGCTCCAAATAAGGAACAAAAACCGCATGTAAATTATGAACGGTTTATAATATTTTTCCATATAAATAAAAATATAAATTCTTATGTTTGAATCTTATTCTGCAGGAAGAACGAAAGATCGTAGCTCTTATTCAAAATACTTTCCGTGGAAAAACCTGTGCACCTGAACAAATAGACGGATGTACTTATAAGGCAGATTTTATTTTGATCCCTAAAGACGAGGAGCAAAAATACATGCGTTACAGTGATACGTTGAAACTGAGAATAGTACCGAGAACAGTGGGATATCCACCGCTTCTGAAAGAAATATTAATTCGTCAACAACAAGCAGCAGGAGTGAAAGTCGAAGAAGATCCACAATTAGAAGTTTCCTACTGTTGGTCAGGAGTGAAACGATACAGGTTAGCGGAAGTAGGAGAAGAACCAACTATTAAATTTGGAATGGATCTTGGAACGCCTATTAGTCCTAGTCTTTACGCGAACATCAGAAAAGAGTCGTCGACGTAAAGATTCATTACTGAATTATGTATATAAAGTGTTTTGTCATAGATTTAAATTTAATAAATATGTTAGATTTAACAAATGTACCTTTGATATGATAGTTGTAGAATATTAATTATGTTGTCTTATACTTTCCTAATAATTTGTAAAATTCGCACAGATCATCTATCTGCTTTTCCATTTTCAACTTATCTTTTGATCCTGAAATGAAATCACACTCTTAAAATTCTTTACTTTCCTTAACACGTTCATTACTGTGCCACACTAGAACTTATTTTTTGCGTTAATTACTATTACGAATGTGTGACACTGGCCTCTTAATAAAAATCAATGCATCGCAGATATGTGATACTGATTGCGAATGTGTTAACAGATCAAGAACAGTTTTAAAAGTCGGAACAACAATAGTAAAATAATACCTAAATCATTGTTCAGTAAATTTTGAGTAATATCTGCTTTCTCCTCCGCAAGGGCCTACGAGATTTACAAAATGATTAAACGCATTAGTATAATATCAACGCGCAGTTAGTATAATTCCAAATACCTTCCAAAATTGTCTCATTTCTTGTACATTGTCACTTTTTCTAACTAACCAACCACGGACGTATTTTTGTATATACAAAGCTGCTTCCTCTTTGGTTAATAACCAAGACATTGGAAAGATTGGCCTTGGACTATATAGAATACAATATTTTTAAATATTATATGTGATTTTCTAATTATTCTAATTTATCTGACCGTACTGTAAACGTAATAATAATTTAAATTGTGGTATCTCAAAAACCGTATGCCATTTAATTTTACGTTTCGGATATTTTGGATTAAGATTCCACAAAATTTCAGCCAAATAATCGAGACCATTAAATCGACACTTCTGCACCTACTCATAATTTATAAAGAATTACTTTGTAAAATATTTTTTATTCTATATATAACTGGATTTATAAAAATAATTTACTTTAAGTACATTCCATCGATGAGCTTCAGCCAACATCTTCTCCATCGCTGGTAACAATAAAGGAAATATTTCTTTATTCAAGTAATTCGATGGTCTATCCTGATAAGGCACTACGATTGACGAATTTTCCTTTCTTTTTTTCCATTCAGTATATCGAGCTCGTTTTTCCTCATATTCATCAATAATAGACTGCCATAAATTGTCTTCTTGCTTATCGTCGACACACGATTTTCTTATGAAAGAATTCTGTTTTTTTTGACACTGAATATCATTTTCTATATCCTGAGAACAACCGAAACAAAGTTTATTCTTGGCAATATATTCTTTGGCTAACGTAGAAAACATCATCGCTTTTTTAAATAAATGATTAAATTATTTAAATAACAGCTCTCCCATTCTCTCTATTTATATTTGTTCGAAGGAAGAAAAAATAATCATTAAACGCGATCGATCAATCGATCATGATTATTGTGTTAATATCGAAAGTACATTTCGTTTATTATATTCTGTCAACATTGATTTAATGCAAAATTGTAGTATACATCACAATGCTTTGACGAGAATAAAAATAATCCAAACGTTACGGTTTGTCGTTTGACTGAAGTTTATAAAATATGTGTCTAAATGAAGCTGGTTTATTCGATTTCGATTTTAATTGCCCGCAAGAATTTAATTATTCAGGCAAACGTAACATAGCCTATGTATAAAGTTATTGGTAAATTAATTAAATAGGAATATAAACATAAATGCTTCATTGCCTTCCACAATGTCCAACAGTGAGACGTCAACTTAGGGAAGAAGGTACATTTCATATTTATTTCGATTTATTCAGTCAATATTTTTATTAATTTATAGTAAATTATTTGTTAAATAAATGGCCAATATATTTATAAATATTTTGTTTAATATAAATAATTAAATATCAAACATTTTGTATAATATTGTTTTAACTAAATAATTAACATAAAAAATATCTACAATGTGATTTTAAAATAGAAAATATTAAATTAATCAACTTGGGTCGCGCAAATTACTGACTTCATCAGTGGCGCGTTATCCTATAAGCAAAATTAATAAAAAATGGGCTCCTTCATCAACAGGCCTCCCAAAAATAACGTTTCACTGAGAGATATACTGAAATTTGATTATAAATACTGACTATTTATTAAGAATATTGAATAAAAATATTTAAAAACACACTGTTCCAATAAACAATATCCCTTATTTACTCCAATATTCGATAATCGTGAATTTTAAAAGATTTGCAAAACAAAAATCTCGACGATTAATTCGTTTCTTAGTCAGAAAGGCAGGTTGGACAGATGAATACCTCCGAAAAGTCATCGATACCCACCCAGTGGACATCGGAGAGGATTTGGATCCATCAAAAATCTATCGAAAAGTAAAACCTGGTCGACGTAAAATAATTCATAAAGTACCGTTAAGTCCTCGTAAACAAAGAGTAACCAGCAAAGATTTAGAACACGACGATCGGTATAAGGAAAAAAGACAGAAGGATTACCCTGATAAAATAGTTCAAGATTCGATACGTATAACTGATTATAAAGAAATTATCGATGATGACGATGAAAAACCTGTAGCTACGTTGAAACAAGAAACTGTTTATTATACAGAAAAAAAGGAAGTCACTCATGTGGCTCCGTTAGTCAAACGAGTTAGTCCTAGAGTAATAAAAAGGCCACAAATACAACAAGAAAGAGAAATTGAAAGTCCGATCGAAGATCAAAGATTAATATTTTATGAAAAAGAAAAAGTCAATGATATTGCAACCACCTATTCCAGAACTGAGAGTGAAAGTTCAATCGAAGATCAAAAACAAATTGATTATGAAAAAGAGAAGGTGGATGATATTGCGATAATTTCTTCCAGTGCTGAAGAAAGTCCTGGAACAAGCAAAATCATTGAGGATAAGAAAAGAATTCAAAATAGAGACGATTCTCCAGACAGTTATTACAAATATACACCTGAGAAACTTCCTAGCGACTGGCCGCACGATGGTTGTGACCAAAATTGTCCTGCTAAAATATTAAAAGGCAAGAACGAAAAATTCTGTATAAATACGACTCCTGAATCATGAACATATCTAATAGTACTGTATTGTGTGTGTGTGTGCTAATTGAGTCGCGCGGGACAAAAGAACAAGTTACGGTACTGCATACGGTATCGTTCTTTTTATCGATAAAATGTGTTGATCATACGTATGCACGATAATTCTCAATAAAAGAAAACAGTGATGCAAACTAACACATTATTTGTGCCCATAATTATGAAAGTGGTCTAAGTCAAAATGAAAAAAAAATGAGTTTATTAATTATTTCACACCACATTATTTTAAACTAAATTAATTCAATGTAATTTTCACAATCTTGTCAAAAATGAACCGTTAGATAGTGTTTTTTATTTCAATATTATATAGAATTCATTTAATGTTCAAATGTAATCCTTTAAATATCTCGAAACAAGAGATATATGACTTAGACCACTTTCATAATTGTGGGCACATTTATTAATTAAAACAATGACCAATTTATTAACCTTTTCGTTATTAGCGACCCATATACGGATCATCCATACAAAGACTTGCATGTATAAACCACCGACCCTTATAGAGATCGTATATAATTATCTATTAGTCCATTTTTATGGAGATTGACAATACAGTACTATTACAAATACGTTTACTATAGATACATATTTTCCAAAAATCATTCTTTCATCGACTTACAGAACGTGCTGAAAAGTTATTGGAAGAAAGACAAAAATATATGGGGGATCGTTACTTGAGCACTGGACTGAGTTACTTCGAAGATGTTTGTACGTGTTCCCTCGGTTGTATGGTACATAATTTGAAAAAAGATCGTTTCGTTCGTAGCATATTAACATCTGCAATTTTATTTGCTTTTGGTATTAAATTATGTTCGGAATTATACGGCTGGTATTTGCCTAATCGCACTTGATCAAATCGATCGATACTTACGAATGGATAAAAATTAAGAAATTAAAAACATAAGATAAATATCAACTGTTAAATATCAATTATAGGAAGCTTAATTTAATAAAAATAAAAATAAGATTACGTTTATTCAATATTTCGCAACTCTTCGTCTTAAAATGATACTAATCGTGCAAAGTAATGCAACTATAATCGATAACGCACAACCAATAAAAACGTAAGGAACGACCAGGTAAAATTGAATGAAATTTTCTCTATCAATTTTTTCTTTAGGAAGATTAACTCGAAACGAAATATCATTTTCCCAATCGATGGTATTATTATGAGTTTGAATAGATCTTCTAGATCTTCTGTTGTGACCTGCTGGACAATTCAAAATGCAATCGGCACCTTCCAAACAACCGGTTACTTTAATAGTTAAAATCATTTCGTCATTCTCTCTCATATTTTCGAACATAAATGCTTGAAAGATAAGATAAGTTTCCAAAGGAGATATGCGATACTGTTCTCGGGAACAAATCTCTCGAATGTCAGAATTCAAACACCCATTCGTGTCTAAAATCCATAAACTATTCATAACTTTTTTCCCTTGGCTCTTTTCTATATAATGAACTGTCACTTCACCGATTCTCGAGTATTTCCAACCTGGAAATGAACACGTTTTTATTTTAATTTTAATGTTAATTTCACACAAATCTTATTAGTTTAATTTGTCAAAATCATTTTCACCGTTCCCATCTCGTACAAGAACACGCAATAATACTTCTTCCCCTAAAATTAGAGTATCACCAGATTGTATTCTAGTGTCAAATACTTTATCGGAACGAAATGTCTTTCGAAACAATCCGACATCGACTTCTAAAGTATTTTGGAAACCACCAGTAATAACACGGGGTACCATTCTTGCCGATCTAAAATAAAACACGTATAAAAAATCAAACATATTAACTTGATGGAATAAACAACAAGTCATCATTATTATTATTATATTAATTATCTTACGTATCAAGAGTCTTCATCTTAATCTGTTTCGTACGAGAAGCAATCTTTTCCTGTACTTTACATCGTAGCGTAATCTTCGAATCATCTTTCAATCTAAGACCCGGTATTAATGGAAATCTTAAATCGAGACAATAAAATTTATCGGTTTCCGTTGAACAAGCAACAACTCCGCAATGCCGAAATCTTTCTTTTTCCAAATTGATTATGTACTCGTCTTTCATCTTTAAAATTTTACATGTCTTCTCATCTTCCACGTTATCTATCACCGGTGATTCTTTCGCAGTTGTTTTTATAGATGCCCTGAAAAAGAAAAAAAATATTGTCAGGAAAAAACTGTTATGAGAGACACGTACCGTTCAAAGACAAAAACGATTGACTAAACTTTTAAAATTGTTTAATATTTTGTATGGCTGTTGAAAAATAAATATGACAGTGTATATAACTTTATTAATTTTCTCTGCTTTTAGATTTTATGGTGTTAATCTATTTGGCAAATGAACGGCTTGTATTATTCGAATTTCTATACTCCAGCAACGTACTTAAAAAAAATGTCATCGTCCGTATCGCGACAAGATATTTCTTCTATTTGGATGGCGTTCTTTTGGAGTAATGATTTATCGATACTACTTATGTTTTCGGTTGTACTCGAGTAAACCCGTTGAGAAGATCCAACTTGTAAATGAGATGGTCTTCGATAATAATATCGACCTTCTCGTTCACCGACTTCAAATGGATGCTGCTGTTCCTCGTTGTTGTTCTCTGTTGCACTCGTTAAATCGGTCGTTAACGAAATGGACGAGCTATTTTTCGATACATCCTCGATGTCCTTTATTCGAACGATATTCCTCTCTTCGTAGGGTAAATAATTGATCACCACACCGGAATCATTTGATTTTTGAGAGAAATTGATCAACACTGTATCGTGGGATTTGAAAGATGTTGCATGGTCGAACGATAATATCGTTAATATTATTAATAACAAATCATTGTTAAAAGCCTATAATGTTAAAAAAAATTAATATGTAAAATAATTCGAATTTTGAATTCTAATTATGTAGATGGGATTGAAAAGTTTTGACCCAAACACAGAAACAATTTCTTTTTTTCGATCTAACTCGCTTTTATTTTTCGACATAGTCTCAAAACTTTTCTACCCACCCTCTTATTTATGGTAAAAGAAAAAAATATAGTAAATTTATACCGATAATTTTGAAAGAGGATTATCAATCGATTACAAATATTGATTTTATGATTTATTTTATAATATAAATAATTTTTAAATCAACAATTCATCATAAAATCAATTTTATCAATTTTTAAGTCCACTGTCATAATTACCGATACATTTAATTGATAAAACAGAGAAAAAAACAATGCAATAAACTTTTCAATCTAAATAATAATCAAATGAAAGTTTCCACCTGTTCTTTTCGTCTAGAAAAGAATTTTCTTGTGATTATAAGGTGTAAAATTTTAAAATCGTTGAAGGACTGTATCATTTTCGTAAGATCAACTACAAAAGACTGACAAACTTGTAGAGTTTGATGTACGCTTTTAAAGGTTCTCTTTTTATTGGCTCGATGATACCTTTGTCACATTGTTCGGAATGTGGATTTACGAGGACACCAACGATGTCCATTATTAGGCACATACGATATTTCGTGATTCGACTGATTAAGGAGTACTTAGCATAAAACATCATCCGTATCCTCCATTTTAACGCGTCTGCCATTAACATCAATATCAATGCCTCTGTGTCTCGGTGTGTATATATGTACGTGTATTATCGTATAACCATTATTATATTTCAAAAAATTCGGGTCAAAGAAATTTCTTTTAAGAAAAACATTATACGAGAGATGCATAT